TTGTTATTCATTATTAAAAGAAAAAAAAAACAGTAAAATAGGTATAATCTTCATTCAAAAAGTTCCAGGCTCAAAAAAAAAAAAGATTTTGAAATTCAAAAATAGTTATTGGGAAATGAGGCCTGATAAATACAATTTATCATTATTTTTTTAAGTGATTAAGAACACATGCTCTGAGGTCAGATCCAATTGGGTTTGAGTTACAGTTCTAACCAACTTTTATCTGTGTGGCTGTAGGAAAATTAATTAACTTCTGTAAAATAAAGATTAAAAAATTACCTAGTTTAACTGCAGTGTATAGCACAGGATCTGACACATAGTAAGTGTTTAATAAATATTCATTCCTAAAAAAGTATCTAAGAAAGCATGATTAACAATGCTGAACGGTTTGGAGAAAATGACAAAACAAAACAAACAAACAAACAAGACAAAACCAGCTTATGGCCACTACAAACCTGTGGTCTCCATTCTCAGCTAGACCCTCCTCATTGCTCTCTAGTTTTACACACTCTCGCTCAGTATTTTAATCTGTTTCCACGCAGTAGTCACTTCAAACCTTGCCACTTTCTTCAAGCTTTATCCTATCACCTCCTTCCCTATTCAACTACTTTACAAAGAAAGAGACTGTAATACATATAGCTCTCTCACTCCCAGCCCTGCATACCTACATATATACTGTTCTCCAGTTACCTTCATCTCTGTCTTAAGAAGGTATGCTCCTGCTTTGACTAATACTACTTTAACTTTTAGATGTTTCTTCTCACTTCCATGATTCATTCTCTCACAAATCTTCCACAACTAGCTCATTCTCCTGAATATTTATAAATGTAATATTTATTTGATAAATCTGTATCTTAAAAAAAAATCAAACACCAAAATACATTCTTGGTTCTACAGCAAACTGCCCCTCAACCCCAATCTTTTCTCAGCCAAGATTCTTCAAAGAGGAGGTAGGTTATATTACTTATATTCATTTTCATCTGCTGTTCAGGCTTTGCCCCATTATAGCGCACCTTTCATCATCCCTGTGACCCATGCTACTGAAACATTTCTCAGATTATGGATGCAAATTGTTAAATGTACAATTGACTCATGAACAATGCATGAGTTAGGGGTGCTGACCCCTTGTGCAACTGGAAATCCACGTATAGATTTTGACTCCCTAAAAACTTTACTAATAGCCTACTGTCGACCAGAAGCCTTACCAATAACATAAACAGTCAATTTAACATATCTTTTGTTATATGTATTATATACTGTATTCTTACAATAAAGAGAAAAAATGTTCTTAAAAAATCATAAGGAAAATACATTTACAGTATTTATTTTAAAAAATATGCACATAGCGAACCCACGCAGTTCAATCCTGTTGTTCAAGAGTTAACTTTACTGAACTTTTCAATTCTCTTACTGGACCTTCTTGGGAACAGCTGACACAACTGACTCAATCCACTGAAACCCTATTTGTTGGGTACCTCTCTCAAGATTTACTATCTTCTGCTATCCCTTCCTAGTCTCTTTAATGGGCCCCTTTTAAATATTAATGTTTCCCTAGGATTCTCTCCTAGATTCATTTTATTTCACTACACTATGTTCTCTGTAGGAGCCACTCCTGGCTATAGTTTCCATCTATATTACATGACCTTCTACTTTCAGACCAGTCTTCTCATAAGCTTTAGACATATATCCAACTGTGTACTAAACATCTTGACTATTACACAGGGAACTTGGTTCCATGTCTGAAATGGAACCTATCATCCTTCCACCCCAACTTGCCCATCCATTTTCGATCTCTGTGAAGGGACTGCTTAAGCCAGAAGTTCAGGAAAGATTCTAAGCTCATCCTTTTCTCGTCTTTAATGCCCAGTCACCAAATTCTGTTAATTTTCACCTCCCAAATATTTCTCACAACCATCCATAACATACTCTCTCTAGCTCTATTGTCATTATCTTGGTTCAAGACCTTATAATATCTATTAGGTAAGTCAATATTTTCCCTCTATTTTTAGTCTCAAAATTGTACATATATATCAAAGTCATATATAATTTTACAGGGTTAGTAAAAAAACTGGCAGTCCTCTGCCTTCTTTCTCAGAGATAACCATTTTTTCCCTTTTAGCTCACTATTGATATTTACTTTCATATCTCTAAATATCCTTCTTGTGTTGCTACTCTTGATTTTTCAGTTGTATGCATATCTAATGACTTCCTACTAGGAACACCATACTTTCCTTTACAAAAAATCACTTATCGAGTGCCAGTATTGTGCCAGGCATTGTTCTGTTTTGGGAAAATGATACAGCAAACAAAACAAATGTCTATCTGGGGAGAGAGATAAATAACAAACATAAATTAGAATATTATATGATTCACTATAAAATAGGATCATTCCTAGCAAGGTTAGATGTCCTTTTGTGCTTCAGTAGTGATCTATTCATAGCCCTATCACAGGCAGCAGGCTCTACACGACAATATTATGTAAGATCGTGGTTGGTAGTGGGTGCCTTGTTTATTAGACCTAAGCAGTATTCCTCCTATGGTTCTGATGAGTCTGGCTATGCATGAGAACAGAAGAGCCCCCTAGGAAGGTGCTGGAGAACTTATGTTAAAAAATAGGCCTGGGTAATTTTAGAGGAGTTGAATCCATGAATCCCCTGACCAACTATAATGACTTGTTAAATCCAGACTTAACATCTGAAGGGTTAAAAGTAACAAACTAGGATGAACAGAAAGGAAATGCTTCTTACTTTAAGGTTAAATTTTCGAAATGGTTACCAATGACTTATAAATAAAGCTTAGAAATGTTTGAACATGACAGGCTTCTCTGATTTAAAACGATAATTTGATTTTAGTGTAGCAGATCCCCACTTATTTGCTTTGTTAGCTGAATAATAAAAAAGGATAAAAAAGGATAAAATGAAGTACAATGATAATGCATGAAAACAATTGCTATCTTTTTTTATCTCTTTACTTATTTGCTTGATCATTAGAAGAAATACAATGAGGTAAAATGGTGTTTCATAACTTATTTCTCAAAAAACTTACCCAGAATCACAATTGGTATATTAGGATTTTTCTAAAAACAAAAAAATTAAAGGCTTAATTCTTTAACATATAATAAAAACTGTACTATACATTTTAGAATATTTTATATATTATAATCTTTCCTTAATGAACCTTTTAAAAGTATTTGGTTATATTTTTGTATTAGTTTTTCTTTTTAAAAATAATTTGGTTTCAAATATTAAATTTGCAAATTTCTAAGTTAAGTCAGTATTTGTGGAGAAATAATCAAAAAATTTAGTAGGTCTGAAAAAACGGAAACTTTTAATGCTATTCCCATATCCTGTCTGTGCTATGGCTAATTCCTTAATTAAAAAAAAGCTGAATATTTATATAACATTTATCAAACTATTTATCAAACTATTATTAAAGAATTATTTTAAAAAAGGACATTTCTAGAAATAAACAGATTTTTAAAAAGTGTTTCCTGAATGCTACAATTATATTAGCTAAGTATTTCTCTGAGCAAGACCTAAAAATCATAAGCAGCCAGCATATCTATGAGATACAAAGAGTGATTACACTTTGTGAGAACTTCAGAAAAAATTCACTTTCTATGAAGAATGTAAATTCACTTGTCAGAAAATCAGAAGCTACATACTAAATTCATTTGAATTTGACAATCAGTAAGTGCCCTAAAACACTGGGGGCCACAATGAATTATTGTTGAAAGATATCTGAAAATGGCATTTATGTTAACTATAATCATACTGTACAAACACTAAAAACTGTTAGATGTATAGCTGTATAATAAAATTCAATTTTCTATTATTTTATTCCATAAGCTCTTTGAACAATACAGTATAAAAATTTTTACAGTCTGAGTTTTGGCTTTGAAAATGCTTGCTTAAACAATTATGAGTCATTCAACTATGAATCCTTTACTGGACAAATCCATTACTTCTTCAAATGATGTGTTACTCTTTATAACTTGTCTGCACATGTGCTGTAGAGCTTGTGGAATACTTAGTGTTGTATACAGATAATCAATCACCTGAACACCTGACCAGTTCAATAACAAATGGGAGTTTAAAATCTTGAGAGACCACAAGAATCTGTTTAAAAGTTTGGATCTTGTTTGAGACATTGCTTTCTGATCCCTAATGACTTTAGCTAACAATGATGCAACGCCCTCCTGAAAAGCAATCTTGAAATATCCATGAAAGTAAATTAAATCTTGGGACAGACAATGACATAAATGTATCTAGTTTAAATGCTAATGTGTTGGAAAAATAAATGAGAACAATTTTCTCCTAGAGTAAAACACCTCATCAGCAGATAGGATTGAAGACTGTATAAAGGTATTTTACTAATAGTAACTCATAGAAGGTTAAAGTGTTAAGCCATTTTAATTTTTAAAAATTTGTTTATCATTCTGAAGGGATTCACAGGCTTCCCCAAGATGTGCTACTTCGACATGTGGATTATTTTGAGCTGAAGGCAAAGGAGACCCTGTGGGCCCAAGAGAAACTTTTATCTCTCTCTTAAAAAAATCTAAATTGGGGGCTTTGCCCATAACACTTATTACCATAAATAACTTATGACCCACAGGGCAGGACAAACATGTAATTACTGAACATCTGCTTCTCTTATTGTCCTTCGAATGACCTACCTCCTCCAAGGCACCTTAGCTCTGAATGCCATATATACCTCATTTTAACTTTCTGTCCCTGAACTCCTCATGTATGTGGGGTCTCTGACGCTCTTGTGTAAGTGGGGTTCCCATATGTGCATATGTAATTAAATTTGGTTATTTCTCTTGTTCATCTCTCTTATGTCAATTTGATTATTAGACCAGCTGAAAGAACCTAGAAGGGAAGAGGAAATTTTCTACCCCTCCCCAACAATACTTATAAAACATTTTAACCTAAGGGCAGAAAGTTGACTTATTATTGTTTAATATATTCTGTAGTAACATAAGAATGAAAATTGATTACCTAATCAAGTAGCAACAGAAGAGTAAACTAAGGATGAAGACAAATATAGCAGTGCCAAAAACCACAATATATATGTTGAGAGGCAGATTCTGGAATCCAATATTAGGCATTCTGAAGTTGTAATGTGGGAAATCCGAGCTCATGGATGAACTGTGGGGGGAAAAAAGAAAAATGGAAAAAAATTAAGTTATAAAGACTAGCAACCAAGCCACCATCATCTTTGTACATGTACAGTAGTCCCTCCTTACCCTTGGGGGATATATTCCAAGACCCCCAATGGATTCCCAAAACCATGGAGAGTACTGAACCCTATATACCCTATTTTTTTCTGTACGTACATACATACCTATGATAAAATTTAATGTATAAATTAGGCACAGTGAGCAATTAATAACTAAAGTAGAACAAGTATAACAATATACTATAATAAAATGTGAATGTGGCCTCTAAGTATCTTTTTGTACTATATATACAGCATGGACACGCTGGACAAAGGGATAATTCACGTCCAGGTCTGGATGGTCAGATATTTCATTATGCTGCTCAGAATAGCACGTATTTTAAAACTTATGAATTGTCTATTTCTGGAATAGTCCATAAATTTTAATGTCAAGGAGAATATAAAGATGTGGGGAAAATTAAAATGTAAACTGTATAAATGTATGTATGTATATTTGGTTTTCACCCACAATTTCTGGCTTACAGCTCCTTGGAATTTCCGGAGCGTTGAGAGTGAAAAAGGCGTTTTTGTTATGTTAGAAGTGAGTTTTGGAAACTACCTAAGGATGGGGGCTGGTTGCCAAGGGAGTCAACTACATGATTAGAGGGTTGGAACTTCAGTCCCACCCCCTGACCACCAGGGAGCAGAGAGGGGCTAGAGACTGATTTCAATTGTCAATGGCCAGTGAATTAGTCAATCATGACTACGTAATGAAGGCTTCATAAAAACCCAGGAGGGCAGCTTGTTGGTCCTTTTTTGGAGAGTTCTGGGTTGGTAAACACATGCAGGTGCTGGGAGAGTGGTGTGCCTGGAGAGGGAATCGAAGCTCTGTGCCCCTTCCTACATACCTTACCCTATGCGTCTCTTCTATCTGACTGTTCTTGAGTTACATCTTTTTATAAACCAGTGTGATACAGTAAATAAAATGTTTCTGAGTTGTGAGCCATGCTAGCCAATTAACTGAAGCCAAGGAGGATCCTTAGTTATAGCAGTTGGTCAGAAGTACAGGTAACAATCTGAACTTGTGACTGGCATTCTGAGTTGGAAGGGGTCACTGGAGGGAGCAACAGCTGGTTGGTCAGAAGCACAGGTAAGAGAATGGGCTTGTGTGTGTGTGTGTGTGTGTGTGTGTGTGTGTGTGTGTGTGTGTGGACAGTCTTGTAGGACTGAACCATTAACCTGTGGAATCTGATACTATTTCTGGCAAGATAGCACCAGAATTTAGTTAATTCTTGGACACCCTGCAAGTGTCTTAAGAACTGTTGGTGTGGGGGCAAAATCTCCCACCCCCACATTGGAACTGGGTCCAGGAACCCTTTTCAATCCCTTAGAAATATCTCTCACCAGACACACTGGACTTTGTAAAATAACTCTCAGTTTTGGAAAGATTAAAATAAACATCCACACTGAGAGGGTTAATAAATAGGCAAATAGAAAGTGATGTGATAGGAGAAGGAACAGGTTTGCAGTCAGCAACTCCGGATGCCGTTCCTAGGATGTCACTAACTAGATGTCAGTACTTGGCCCATCTATACCTCAATTTTCTTATCTCATCTAAGAATTTAATGTGAGTGTTTGTGTGTGCATTTTGGTTGGGGCAAGTGGGAAGGAAGACATTAAATAAAAGTAGTAAATAATATTAAAAAAAACCCTAACAAAGATCAAGTCTCTGGAGAGGATTCCACCAAACCCAGTGATCTTTTCTCAGGAAACTCCTCTGCACACATGGCCAAACTTTGTGTCAAGTGGCCTGCCAACCTGGCTCCCAGATACAGGAACTGGATACCTATCGGAGCCAAAGGCAGCCATCAATATAGGCTAGCTGGGAGTGAGTCAGTGAGGTGAGAACATTGCCTGAAAAGGTCCTTGCACTAGGTGGCACCACCAAGGAACTCTTGGGGAATTCTGAAGAGACAAAGACATGTGGAGTATTATAAGTAGTGTTGTCAGCAGAGACATTGGCCTTGGTGCTCTTGGAGGCTGGCTGCTGAGACTTGCTTGTGAGTTGTCCATTCTTGGCAGGGCCTTACGAACTATTACCAGAGGAGTGGGGGTTGGCAGAAGATATGCACATGTAGAATACATTTTAGGAATTTTCCTCCTTTCTTTTGGTAAATGAAATTGCTTAGCTATGATTAATATGTTGGCCCAACAGTCTAAGTAGTATATTTATTATTCCAAGATGTTAATCTTACTTTAGAGATACATTAGTTTTATAATATTTTTATTATAATATCTGTCCAGCATGCATATTAATAAGCTTTTGAAATAAGAGTCTTTAAAAAGAGAGTTACTACTCATTATTCTAGTAAATAAGCATTCTTTGCCTTGTAAGTATACAAATGTAAAAGTTATTTAGAAATTGTTTCTTGTGGGAGTAAAGAGGAGAAATAGAACAGACAGTGCTTTGTTGGATCTCACTTAACATTTTTGACTTTATTTGCATGAAAACCTTTTCCCCCGTATGCAATTATTAGTTCCTGAAATCTCTAGTCTCAGACTATATTTCAAACCTCTAAACAGTGAAAAAAAAAAAAAAAAAGAAAGAAAGAAAGAGAAAAGAAACAGACAGGACGATGAATATTTTATTGGCAGTGGGATTTCTCACCAAGATAGAAAAGGGACAGAATATATGAGATTTGGCTCCACAGAGGACCTGTGGTTTAATAATTTTTATTACATCCTGCTTCTACTTGCTTTGGATTTAGTTGTTCTTTGTCTAGCTTCTTACAGTGGAAGCTTAGGTTATTGATTTAAATTCTTTACTCTTTTCTAATATAGACATTCATAACTATAACTTTCCCTCTAACCTCTGCTTTAACAATGTCCCATTAATTTTTGGTAATCATCAATGATTTAATTTTTTGAGCAATAATTTAATAAACATTTCTAAAGTCAGGTAGCAGACCATTATTCCAAAAGTGATACCCCTGAATATAACTTTCAAAATTTTGGTTTATCACAATTTCTTAAGAGGATATATACCCTGTATATCCTCAAAAAACAGGTGAAATTCACATAACATTAACCATTTTAAAGTGAGCAATGCAGTGGCATTTAGTGCTTTCACATGTTGTGCAACCATCACCTCTAAAAGCATTTAATTGCTCTAAATTTAATAAAACCCTGTACCATGAAGCAGTTACTCCTCATGCCTTCCCTTTCCCCAGACTGGGCAAACATCAAACAATCTATGGATTTACCTATTCTGCTATTTCATATACACGGAATCATACAATACATGGTTTTTAGTATCTGGCTTCTTTCACTTAGCATGTTTTGAGGTTCATATCCATGTTGTAGTATGTCAGTACTTCATTGCTTTTTATGGCTGAATAATATTCCATTGTATGTATATCCCACAATTTGTTTATCCATTCATTCATCCGCTGATGGACAATTGGGTTCTTTCCACCTTTTGGCTATTGTGAATAATGCTACTATGAACATTTTTGTACAAGGATTTGTTTGCATACCTGTTTTCAATTCTTTTAGGTATATTCCTAGGAGTGAATTGCTAGGTCATATGATAATTGTTTAACTTTTTGAGGAATCACCAAACTTTTCCATAGTGGTTATACACCATTCTATATTCCTACCAGCAATGTACAAGGACTCAAATTTCTTCATATCCTTAATAACACTTATTTCTGTGCTTATTTTTAAAATACTCATCCTTATGGGTGTGAAATGATATTTCATTGTGGTTTTGATCGGTATTCCCTAATGACCAATGATGTGGAGCATCCTTTTGTGTGTTTATTTCATTTTTATATCTTTGGAGAAATGGCTATTTAAGTACTTTGCCCATTTTTAAACTGGGCTTTTTATTAAATTGTAAGAGTTCTTTATGTATTCTGGATACTAAACCCTTATTAAATATATGATTTACAAATATTTTCTCCCATTGTGTAGTTCATCCTTTCGCTTTCTTGACAATGTTCTTTAATGTATAAAAATTTAGTGAAGACTAATTTATCTTTTTTTGTTTTCTTTTTTTCTTTTATGGCTCATGTTTTTGGTGTCATATCTAAGAATCCATTGCCAAATCCAAGGTTATACAGACTTATCTCTGTTTTCTTCTAAGAGTTTTAGCTCTTATATTTAGGTCACTGGTTTATTTTCAGTTATTTTTTGTATAAAATATGAGCGGTCCAACTTTGTTCTTTTGCATGTGAATATCTAGTTGCCTGGCACCATTTTTTAGTCTATTCTTTCTCCATTGAATGGTCTTCCCTACTCATGTCAAAAATCAATCGGTCATAGATGTTTGGGGTTTATTTCTGGACTCTCAAATATACTTTTTTTTTTTTTTGAAAACTGTTTTGGCGATTTGGGGCCCCTTGTAATCCTGTAAGAATTTGAGGACTGGCTTTTCCATTTCTCCAAAAAGAAAAAAGATGACTGGAATTTTCATAAGGATTGCACTGAATCTGCAGTGCTTTGAGTAGTCATCTCATTATTTTGTTTGTTTTATTTTCATTTTCATCCAGCTCAAAATGTTTTCTAATTTTCCTTTTTGTTTTCTTACTTAACCTATGGGCTACTCAGAAGTGTAATGTTTAAATTTCCAAATATTTGTGATTTTCCAAATTTCCTTTTGGTGATTTCTCATTTACTTCTATCATGTTAGATTTCAATTCTTTTAAGTTTATTGAGACTTGTTTTATGACCTAGCACAGGGGTTGGCAAATTATGTACAGCCAACTTGTTTAGTGGAACACAGTCATATCTACTTGTTAATGTGTTGTCTATGGCTGCTTTTGAGTTAAAACGGCAGAGTTGAATAGCTGTGACAGAGACCATATAGGCAACAAGCCTATATGGCCCTTCAAGAAACTTTTTACCAACTCCTGCCCTAGCATATAGTCTATCTTGGAAAATGTTCCATGTGTGCTTAAGAAGAATATGTATTCTGCTGTCATTAAGT